GCCACCAGCAAGCCTGCCACAGACACTCCGGGTAGGTCGAGCCTTCTGAACGGTCTGGAGCCTGGTCCCTGAGATGCGGGCCGGAGACGGCTTCCTTTTAGTCAGGGGAAGATTCTGTGTCAGCTGGGGGTGGAGCTGGGGAGCCCAGAGCAGCACTGACCAGATTTGTGTGAGGGCTCAAAGCCCATGATCTTGTCTGTCCTCCCTTCCTTGTTACCTTGAGTAGTTGTACAGCGTAAAATAGAGCGCTTTCTCTATCACAGAGGTGCATACAAATGTGAGGCGTTATTGAGGTTCTGTCATTGCTGCCGAGAAGGGACGTGTTATTGCAGCTCTTGGTTACACAGGGCAAAGACTGGTTTAAGAAACAAGATGTTTTCCTGGTTGGTGGATGAGTGGTTAGAGCATCAGCCCTCGATTGAAGGTTTGGTTCCCAGTCAAGGGCATGAACCTGGCTGCAGGCTCGATCCCTGGCCCTGGGCAGGGTGCAGGTGGGAGGCCACCGATGTCCTGTCTCCTCTCTCTCCCTCCCTTCCACTCTCTAAAGAAAATCAGTGGAAAAACTGTCCTTGGGTGGTAGGATTAACAACAACAACAAAAGAAATAAGAGATCTCCCCAGCCACCTTCTGGAGCTAGCGAGTCAGCATGGGCTCCCCCTGAAAGGTGGGTCATCTGCTCCCGGCACCCTTCCTACGCAGGCGGGAGGTCTCTGCTGCAGCCGGGCCCTGCCCTGATGAGCACACTTGAGGGCAGTGACAGTCCTCACCTGGTCAGGGACCTCGGGGTGTGCCGGACACTCAGCCAGGGCTGCTTCCTGTCCCGCAGTAAGGATGGCCAGACCTGGGGCCAGATGAGCCAGCTGTGGCCTGGGGGACCTGTCTGCTCCTGAAGTCAGGAGGGCCCTGCTGGCAGAGTCTCATTCTGGGGCCTAGAGGGTGTCCTCACTTCTGTCCCTGAGGTTTGGTGGTACCTCAGGGTTTGCTCCAGGGCCCAGACCTGTGGAGAGAACAGGAGGCAGAGTGACTGTAGGGCCTCGTGACCCCAGAATCTTCTCCACACATTCGTGTCTCAGGCTACTGGCCTCCCTGGGAACACCTACCTCCTCCTAACATCCATGTGGGATGGGTACTGGGAGCCAACAGGCAGCTGCAGGAGTGAGCAGGGGTGTGAGGTGGATGGGAGATGACCGGTTCTCACTGCCTCTGTCTGCCCTGGCCCCGCGACCCTAGTCCCTGTCCTGGGCCGGTGGCTAGAGTCACGGAGCAGAAGAAATGGCAGCCTTAGAAGCCACACGTCACCTGAATCATAAATTGGAACAGTGGGCCCTGCAGGAGTGTGACTGGATAATTTACCAGAGACCACAGTTGTTCTGCCTCCCGTTACGCTGTCTCCCCCGGCATGAGCTGTGTAGCTGCGGGTCTCTGTGTATTTGTCTCTGTGTGTGGGTCTTGGGGTCTGTGTCTGCTGACAGCCTGACTCCTGGTCTCTCTAGGAGCAGGGTCCTAGGACTGGGGAAGGCAGAGAAGATGGGGCAGAGAGCAGGGACAAGAGCAAGGTGCAGGAGGGTCTGGCTGTCCTGTCAACAGGCTCTGTCTTGGAGAGGAGGAGGAGAACAGAGAATGAGGGGTATGTGGTCCCAGGTGACAGAGCCAGGCTGCATTCTAGCCTGTGCCAAGGTACCCAGGTGCCCCGCACCTCGGGTCTGGCCTGAGCAGGAAAGGTGGTGGGAGCCGCCTGCGGGAGCTCCCAGGGCCGGGGGTGGCCATCGGTGAATACAGGCGTCTCCCTCAGCGAGGAGGGTGGGGGGCAGCCATGGCATCTGTGGAAAGGGAGCCTCATGACCCTGATTCTACTGGCACAGTTGAGAGTGAGCCAGGGGTTTGCACCAGATGGGGTGAGTGGTCAAGGGTCTCAAACATGGTGTTACTCCCTCCACTGGCAGTCTCAGCTCTGAGAGGGTGCGTCTGTGCTGGTCCTGGAGGCTCAGGACGCCTACCCACACACCCAGGTGCCCTGCCTGCGTGGCGTGGCCATGCTGGGCGCCTCCTCCGTGCACTCAGCCAGGGAGTCCAGAGGTCTGGGTCTGAGCTCTGGGCTTAGACTGTGGGCTGCAGAGCAAGAGAATACCGGTCAGCCCCAGGCTGGATGCTCGGCCAGCTGCAGACGGAGTCCTGCACGCTCCCTCCTATGGTCTGAATATCCCCCCCAACCCCCTGGCCAAGGTGATACTAGTAGGAGGAGGGGCCTTTGAGAGGTGACTAGGTCATGAGGGTAGAGCCCTTATAAAAGACCCGGAGAGCACCCTCGCCCTTTCCACATGTAAGCACAGTCAGAATGTACCACCTGCAACCGGAAGACACCCTCACTAGACACCCAGTCTGCCGGCACCTTGATCTTGGACTTCCCAGCCTCCACGACTCTGAGAAATAAATGTTGGTTATAACCTACGCAGCATGCGGTATTTTGTTGTAGCAGCCTGAACAGACTAAGATGTCCCTGCGTCTGGAGCTCCCTGTGCACTGAGAATTGTCCATGTGGGGGTGCTGCACCGCCATGCACCTGGTTTCCCTGAGCGCATCCTGCCTCATAGAAGGCTAAAGATTGGCGGGCTAACAAAGGCTCAGTCTGAAGGAGATTCAAGTCCCTGCGGGATTCTGGAAGGACATCTCAGGGAGATCCCAGGGGAACAGACAGTGTGAGGAACGGAGCCAGGAGCCCAGCGAGACAGGGGAGCAGGAAGGGGCTCCTGGGAGAGCCCCAGCAGCTTCAGGACATGCCCTGAACACTCCCTCGTGCAGAGGGTCCCGGGGCTGCTTTCTCTGCATCCCTCCTGTTAGTGCTGGGCTTGGCCACTGTCTACACGACACCCCAAGGGAGTGGCCATTGTCCACCAGCTGCCGCCCCTCCTGCTGTACGCCCTGGGCTTGAAGGCAGTGCTCCTCGATTTCTCTCCCCAGCTCCTCATGCTGCCCCAGCAGCCGCTCGGCCTCTGCCATGTCCACAGCCAGCTCCTCCGAGGACACCAGCGCCTGCTTCTCCTGAGCCCTCCCTCTGTGGGGCAGGCAGAGGAAGCTGCTGTCAGGGTCTGGAGGGCAGTGGGCGGGGCGGAGGGAGGGAGGTGGCAGTGGGGTGGGGGAGGGCAGGGAGGAGGTGGAGTCCTGTTGGGGTCCAACCCCAGCAGGTCCAGGGGTTCCCAAAGGTGTGGACGGAGTCGGCGAAGAAGGAATAACACGGAGACAGCGTTCAGTTGATCAGCAGCCTAGCCAGGTTCTACAGCCAGGTTCTGTGCTTTATTGTCTTCTTACGTCTGTATTTATACCAGTTGATTTTTTTTTATGTTGCTTTATTCTTTCTGGTTTTTTTTTTAATAAATCTTTATTCAGATTATTACAGTTGTTCCCCTTTTTTCCACCCATTGCTCCCCTCCACCCAGTTCCCACCCCACCCCATGCCCTTACCCCCCCCCCACTGTCCTCATCCATAGGTGTACACTTTTTGTTGCCGGGTCAAAGGTCATACACATGGAAAATGTAGCTATTTCCATCCGCGATGTGTCCCTGTGTTCGGAAAGGTCTCTCACGACTTGTGCACGCTCTGCTCAGAAAGGGTACGGAGACATGTAACGGCTTTTTAAAATAATGTGTCCTCTTATGTTTAAAATGAGGATTTCGCTACCAAAACTGAGGAGAAAGCAACACTACAGCTGCTCTCGGCCCTCTCGCCCTTTGAATGATAGATGTGCTTAGGGCTGCACGCTGGTTTGCCGGCCTCGATGAAGCTGTCTGAGTGGCTTGCACGGTTCCGCCAGCTTCCCAGGGGCCGTCGCAGCCTCTCAGGGACCATCGCAGCCTCACAGGGGGCGCCGCATCCCTCATTGGGGGTGAAGGTGCGAGTCAGAACCTCCTCTCGCTGTCTCTCCTGCTAGAAGTTTCTGAGAGCCGTCTGCAGGTGCTGGACATCATACTGTAACTGGTCAACATGAAGTTTGGCATTCTGACTTTTGTTGGGAGGCTCCTTGCTGGACAAAATCTCCAGGCGTTCTAGCTGGCTGAACATCTGGTATGCTTGCTTGGGTTTCGTTTTCTACTAAGTGCACAGATTGCTTGTCTGCCGTCTCCCGGCGTCCCATGTGAGACTGGATATGGCGGACCCGCCTGTGTGTTTGCTGGTATAGAGGTTCCATGTCGCCGGCCCAGCCGGGTCCGGCTCCGGCATCCTCCAAACCTGTTTCTGCTTCTTGAGTGTGTCCCTTATAGGTGGGAGGAGTTGAAGTCTGCAGTTTGTTGGGTTAAGCTGCAAAATCGCAGGTGGTTCCTTTTGTGCCACTGGCACAGCTTGGGCGGGATGTACATTGAGTAGCGCGGGGTCTCGGAATCACCAGGGCGGAGCAAGCAGCAATGGCGTCTCCACGACTCCTCGCCTCTCCGTCCCCGAGTGCCAGCGAGCAGCTCCACAAGAGAGCCACCCTCATTTTCCGACCCGCTGCAAGGCCGTCCTGCCTCTCTACGTAGGGGTCTGGGACCTCAGAATCCCACCCCAAACATGCTCAGTGGATTCGAGAGTTAGTAACCCCTTCCGATTGAAAAAAACCGCACATCCAGTTGCAGCCTGATTAAAGTGATTAATTACCCACCTGGCACTTAGTTAAGGGGTTTTATTCCCTCCCTAACTTCAGGGGAAAATCCCTACCTGGGGAAACAACCTTTCTCAGAGAGGTGACCTTGGTTAAAACACATAGCGCCAAGAAGGGGAGCAAACATATTAAGAACAGTATGCCATATACGCCAGGTCCCTTGAAACATATGCTGTGCAGATGTTTCTTCCCTGCAGTGACTGTGTCAAGCAGCAAGGATGGACCGGCTTCCGGGAACTTCCCCCTTTTTTATTTTTTAAATGATAGCGCATGCAAATCAGCAGCCACCTCTCGGATTGGGTTGTTTAAGACTCGGAAGAAGACTGACAAGCAATGATAGCGAGCATAGCTATAAACATAGTGGATGGAGTGCACAAGGAGCCTTGTTCCTGTAGAAGGTTGCTGCCTCTTCAGTCAAGGGATTTCAGCTGTCCTCAAGTCGGTGGTTTGGTTGTCCTTGTTGATCCGGCTAGCGGGCAGCGTCATTGGTGACAGGCTTCCCGAAGCTTCAGTGAGTTGAAGGGCTGCATCAAAGGGTCCATCAGGGCCGCGCTTGATGGTGGTGTCGGTGTCGGGGGGGAGTCAGCTGTGCCCTCTGGGTCGGCCAATATGGATGATACCGGGGCGGAGGAGGGTGTCCACAAAAATAACTCAGGCTGCTTTGCCGAACCATCCTGTCCACCAGGGGCGCTGCTGAGGCTGTCTGCCTGGAAGGGTCACCAATGGACGTGGAAAGTCCTCGCTCTCATGGCTCGGGCCATCGCTGCTGCGGGGAGGGATCTTTGCTGCCATGGCAAGGGGGTACTGGAAGCCATACTGCTGCTGGGCGGAGGGGGTGGTGGAGGCTGCTGCTGCTGCTGTTGTCATGGAGGAAGAGGACCAATAGGCGGGGGAGGAGGTTGCCCAGTGGGTGGCGGCGGCGGTGGCGGCATCATGCCATTTCCTTGATGTAGGCGATAGACCCCAGCTCGTACTTCCCAGGTACTAATCCATCGGAGGAGGGCCATGGTGCCCAGGTGGGTGGGGGCCCTGGCTCATCAGTGGTGGTGGTGGCTGCATCCAAGGAGGTGGGGGTCCATTAGGGTTGTGCTGCATGGGATGCCCACCATGCCCACCTGTAATGGGTGTGGGAAGTTGTGGGGGCCGCCTCCAGGCCCACCTCCATGCATGCCATGGTAGCGCCGACTCTCTGAAGGGCCAGAATTCATCCAGGGTGGGCGGCTCTGGGTGGCAGACATGAGAGACAGTGGAGGTGGGTTGTTGGCGGGAGCCGCAGGCTGAGGTGCACTGGCCAGAGGTGTGCTGGCAGGCCCAGAGGTGGAGCCCACAGGTGCTGGCACAGGAGCTTCACCCAGTTCAGCCATGAGGGACAAATATTCTTTATCCATCCGAGCTTTATCCTGAGCTGACTGCGGGTCACCAGGCCTTTGGAATTTGCAGTCAGAAGCAATGTGGCCAGCCCCTCCACACTTGGTGCACACTGTAGTATTGGTAATGCTACGGGTCTCTGAGCTCTGCCAGGGTCTTAAGATCCGGTTATCATCTTCCCTAAGGGTCCCATTCAAGCGAGCCAGCTCCCGAAGTTGCATCTTCCGAAGGTCATTCTGGTCCTCAGGGGTCTCAATCCCTTGCTTCAAGATGTTTCTTATCTGCTCTACTGCTTTCTTCACATTCTCCATGGTGTTGCCGGTAACCAGGGCATGAAGTGGCTCGTCTTCTCCTGACAACACCTGGCCATCTTTGTGCCCAACTTTCCCTTCTTTCACAGACCCTTGCCCCCGGATCATGATCTTCGCATTACACTCCTTCTCTATGTTCTTCAATGTGTTCCCTCTGGGCCCAATTAGCAGCCCCATAAAGTTGATTTCTGGATACTCATCTTGTGGAATCATTACTTTATCGCTCACACGCGTTGCGGGTTGTAATCTGCGGGTGGCCTGAAGTCAGGGTTGAGAGCAACCGTTTCTGTGATGAGGTTATGCCGCTCCTCCTCCAGCGTCTTGCACGTGGGGAACTCGCGGGTGTTAAGCCGCTTCCCCACACCATTGTAGATGGGCTCCGGGGAAGGGGACCTGTCCTCAGGGTTAAGGGGGATGCCCAGGTCTCCTGTCCGCAGTTTACGAGTCAGGTCTTCTATCTGCAGTTGCACTATATAAGCTCTCTCTTGTTCCCGAGCAAGTCCAGGGGGGATCACTGTAGGCATTCCTGGAATCACCGTTTTCTGTTCCATTGTGTCTTGATCCCAGTGGCTCCTCTTCCACTTCTTACTTGGGAAGCCCAGCGGGGTGGCATTCGCTCCGGTAGCCATGGTGCCCCCGGGACCCGCACCAGCGCCTCCTCTTCCGTGGCTACTCCTTAGGGAGCCTTCCAGGGGGAGGGGACTCGACTGTGTTGCCTTGGAACGCGTGGAGCCCTTCCTCTCGCGTGGCCCGTGAGAAGCACAAAGAAGGAGAGAGCGTGCCACGGGGGTGGGCTGGGGGCCACCGCCGAAGCCTGGATTGGGCCGGGCTGAGGCAAAGGGTCTGACCAGTGGCCTTCGACTGGCGGAGCTTCTGTCCTGCTCGCTGTGTGCTGGGATTTGCCGGACTGTTAGGCTCAGCGAGGAAATGGCAGCCGAGGCTGGAGAGCTGGGAGGTGTTGACGGAGTCAGCGAAGAAGGAATGACACGAGGACAGTGTTCAGTTGATCAGCAGCCTAGCCAGGTTCTCTAGCCAGGTTCTAGCCAGGATCTAGCCAGGATCTCCAGCCAGGTTCTGTGTTTTATTGTCTTGTTACATCTGTATTTATACCAGTTGATTTTAATCCTGTCAATTTCTATTCCAAAGGTTAGGGCGTTTCTTATCTCCATTCCAGGGAGTAAAGATTATGTAGCTTAAGCGTGATTGTTCGTAGTTAAAGTGATTAACTACCCGTCTGGCACTTAGTTAAGGGGTTTTATTCCCTCCCTAACTTCAGGGGAAAATCCCCACCTGGGGAAACAACCTTTCTCAGAGAGGTGACCTTGGTTAAAACACATAGCTCTAAGAAGGGGAGCAAACATATTAAGAACAGTATGCCATATACACCAGGTCCCTTGAAACATATGCTGTGCAGATGTTTCTTTCCTGCAGCGACTGTGTCAAGCAACAAAGATGGACCGGCTTCCGGCAGAGTCCAGTTCCCCAAAGAGCTGGGTGACCCCCACCCTGCAGGCAGAGCTGAGCCCACAGCGGGGCCAGGATGCCACCTACAGTAGTTCCTGACAGTGTCCAAGGTGTGGCCCGGGGCAGCCTGCTCCAGCTGCCGGCCCTGCTCCTGGACCTTTGCATCCAGGGTGGCCAGGCCTCCTGCACCTTGGCCAACTGCTGGGCCAGGCTGTCCTGAGCCACAGGCTGCAGCAGGCCCAGGCAGTAAGCCTCCGTCCGCACCTGCGCCACCTTCTTCTCCACGGCTGCCGATTCCCCCTGCCGCCAGGACAGAGGATCAGATCTCACTCCCTGCTGAGTGCTCCTCACTCAAGAGTCCAGTCCTCACTGGCCAGGCCACCTACGCTCTGCTCCACAAGCTGGGAGGGGGTCCTTGCCTCTCGCTTCTGGGGTCCCCTTACCCACTGTTTTCAGGGAGTGGCTCAGACAGGAAGCCCAGAGCATGGGCCCTCACCTCCAGGCGCCTGTGCTGTTGCTGCAGGGTCTGCATCGATGACAAACTGTGGTCACAGGTGTCTCTTGCCATCAGGGTGGCCTTGTCCTGCATCCAGGCCGCGCTCAGCCACGGCCTGCTCCAAGCCACGAAGCTCCCGGGCTGCAGCCAGGCCGGAAGAGGAGGGCGGGCTGCTCTGGGCTCGGCGTATTCCTAGGGTCCTTTCTCCCCGGAGCCATGACCTCCTGGGCCATCCCCTTGTGGGGCTGGGTGACTCGCTCATGACCCCCAGGCACAGAACATGTCCCAGATGTGGCAGCTGCTCAGTGAAACACGATGTTGCTGAGATAGTGAAGGATAGTTACTGATTATCCATTACACTCAGGCCCACATGCATTCTTGCATTCTTTTATTTTCAATTTTGAAGTAATTATAGATGTCCAGGAACTTGCAAAACTAGTATAGAAAAGTCCCATTACTCTTCCCCCAGCTTCCCCTGACTGGTAACAGCTTACATATCTACAACACAGTATGAATAACTGGGCTACAGATTTCATTCAGAGTTCATCCGTTTCTACATGCGCGTATCTGTGTGTGTGTGTGTGTGTGTGTGTGTGGCGGGGGGGGGGTATAGTGCTGTGTAGTTTTGTTACTCGTACAGATTCGTGTAACCACCCCCACACGTACATGCTCTCTTGCCTACGAGGTTGCCGGAAGCCGGTCCATCCTTGCTGCTTGACACAGTCGCTGCAGGAAAGAAACATCTGCACAGCATATGTTTCAAGGGACCTGGCGCATATAGCATACTGTTCTTAATATGTTTGCTCCCCTTAACGCTGTGTGTTTTAACCAAGGTCACCTCTCCGAGAAAGGTTGTTTCCCCAGGTAGGGATTTTTCCCTGAAGTCAGGGAGGGGATAAAACTCCTTAACTAAGTGCCAGGCGGGTAATCACTTTAACTACAAACAATCATGTTTAAACTACATAATCTTTACTCCCTGGAATGGAGATAAGAAACGCCCTAACCTTTGGAATAGAAATTGACAGGATTAAAATCAACTGGTATAAATACGGATGTAACAAGACAATAAAAGGCAGAACTTGGCTGGAGATCCTGGCTAGGCTGCTGATCAACTGAACGCTGTCTCCGTGTCATTCCTTCTTCGCCGACTCCATCCACACCTTTGGGGACCCCTGGACCTGCTGGGGTTGGACCCCAGCATGAGGTGGTAGGTGTTATCCCCATTTTAAAGACAGAGAAACTGAGGCTCAGCAAGATGAGGGAGCCTGTCTCAGCACATCCAGGCAGTAAGTGCGGAGCTGTCACTTGAGCCCACACCTGACTCCAGAGCCCAATACTCTGAGCTGTTTTCCCAATCGGGGGATGTGTTGGCCGACCTCCCCCCTGCAGGACCCTTACCCCGGCCCAGACTCCTTGGAGCTCCCTGAGCTGTTTGAGGATCAGCAGGCAGTGCTCACGGTTCTGTCCCAGGTCACTGATGCTCACCATCACCCCCTGTGGAGGCGGAGGAGCAGGAGGGCAGCCCTGTGAGCACCAGCCCTGGTGCTCCCAGCCCCCCTGGCACCTTGCTGCCGTGGCTCCCACCTGTCAGGGAGCCAGGGGGCTGCAGGCCTGGGGCTCCCCAGTTCTCAGCCCCACAGTCTCACCCACAACTCGCCCCTGCCCAGCGGGACCTCACCAGGCCCTGCATCCAGGCCTCACAATGGTCCGCTCTCTGCAGGAACTCCAGGAAGTTCTGTATGTCCTGCAGGTTCTGGCCCCAGAGGGCCACCGCCTGCGTCAGCGTCCCCCAGCGCCCGCAGCCACTGGGAGAACTCTTTTACCCGCGGGTGGCTCTGTGCCAGGAGAGCCTCGCCTTCCTGGGAAGGAGGGCCACTGGGAGGCCCTGCCCGTCACCCTCCCCTCTTTCCTCCGTCACAGGCCCCTGTCTAAGGCCTTTCCCATTGGCCATCCTGGGGCAGGGCTGGGGCTGAGGGCCTGGCTCTTACCTTGGCGACTGACATTATGACCTCCTCGTGGGCCTGGACCTCAGCCGGAAAGGCCTGGTGTTCCCGCAGGTGCCTCAACTGACCTTTCGGTCCCCAGGAGGGGGCAGCTCTCCCATCGCTGAGCCCGCTGAGCCCGCTCCTGGATCCATCCTCGGCCTGGTGGGGGTGGGAACATGAACCCATGATGCTGATACCGCCTCTGCCACAGAGACGTCCCACCGCCTCCCCTCAGCTGTGTCCCAAGGGCAGGTTGGGGGAGAGCCTGGTAAATGAGAACCAGTGGGTCTAGCCCAGAAAGACGCGGCCCAGGCCCCGCTGGCCCCACCACAGGAAGGCAGGACCTTCTGTTGGAAATGAGGCTCCCCTCCCCGCTCTGCCCCGGCCCTGCGAGAGCTGAGGACGCAGCGGGGTTTGCACAAAGATGTCTTTGAGTAAAATATTCTGGGCTCTAGCATGGCCTCTGGGAGGGCACTGAACTCTCCAAAACTCAGTGTCCTCGTCGCAGGGTGGTGACGGCTGAGTGAGCCCGGGACGGCGAGTGTCACCTGTAAACTACAATGTGCCCAAACGGAAGGCCCTGACCTGGGTCGCGGCCCTGGTGAGGCCGCCATCAGCAGGGAGGCGCGCAGGGCCCGTCTCCGGTCTCGGCCAGATTCTTCACTCGAGCCAGATGCTCCAGCACGGCCTGGAGCAGGTCCTGGGGCTCCCGAGAGTGTCTGCCTCTCACTCAGGACTGCCTCCTGTGGGGCGGGGCACCGCCTGCTGTTCTCCCAGCTGGTGAGGCTGGGGCAGGGGCTGGCCCACAGGGAAGCCCTGCCCTCAGGCCTGCGTGGCCTGGGGTGACCCAGCGCTGGCTGATCCTCCCCGACAGCCAGAACCCAGTGACCCCATGATATGGGGCCAAGTGGGCTCCCTGTCCCGGCAATGTGCCCCACCCCATCCAAGGTCCCCTTCTTTTTTTAAATAATATATTTTTATTGATTCCAGAGAGGAAGGGAGAGGGAGAGAGGGAGATAGAGACATCAATGATGACAATGAATCATTGACCGGCTGCCTCCTGCACACCCCCTACTGGAGATCGTGCCACGGAATAGCACCAGGGGCTGCTGCCTCCGGATTCCCTTGGCTACAGCGAGCCCAGAACAGAGACATAGGTATGGCTCCAGGCCCCGTTTGTGGCAAAACTCCCAGGCAGAAAGCAGCTGGTGGAAGAGACTTGGAAATCAGGACACGCTGAAGCAGAGGGTTCTAAGGCCTGGGGATATGACGTCACAGGTCCTGGGAGAAGAAGGGACAATACCTCATGCTTGTGATGAAGGCTGTGGGCGTCATCCAAGCACTTGGTGGAACTAGCAGAGCTTGCACTGGGCATGTGCTCAGCTACCCACGTGAGCTCTGAGCTGGTCAGGTGGTGGAACTGGTACAGCTCCACCCAGGCCGGTAGCTGCAAGCACCAGGTGACCAGATGTTTCTGCGAGGGCTTCAACCCGGTGGAGGCAGAAGAAATGAAAGAGGTTGGGACACGTGAGGACACACCTTCAGTCCTTTCCTTGGCTCAGCCAGGGACCCGGGAGGAACAAGGTGGGGTATGAATGGGGGAAGCCTCATCTGATGGAGGGGTTGGGGGCACAGCTGGAGACGGTCCAGGGCCCAATCTCCTACCCAGGTGACCCACCTGATTTCAGAGACTGTGGGGTGCTTGGGGTGCCTAGTTGGGGTCTCTGCCCCTCCTACCCTTGGAATGACTCCTCTCATGAAGGGGATCTGGACAACCTCAGGTCCTGGAGGTGCTGCCTGCTGGGCTCACAGGGTGGGACGCCCTCGTGCTCACACGGGAGGGTGACACGTGGGGTGAAGGTGGAGCAGGCCGGTGAGTACCTCTGCAGGGACTTTGGGGTCTCCTCCATGCTGGGCTGGGAACTGACCACCTGCTGGGCCTGGGAGGCGAGGGCAGCTGCTGTTTCTGCAGCCCCGGCTGGAGCCCAGGTCCTGCCCCGCGTCTGCCCTCCGCAGGGCCCCCTCCAGCTGCTCCATCTTCTCTTGGGCGTCCTGGGGAGGGATGATGGTGCGTGTCTGGCTCCCCACAGGTAGG